GTATAATTACTCCACTAAATATGGGTAATATAGATCATATATTTAGAAACCCAAATATGGGTTTTGATTTAATTAAATGGGTGTAATTGTTAAAAATCCACTATATTTACTCTTATTACCTACCTATAATCATGCTCTAAAATTATTAGAGGTATACAAATATTATAATTTATAACCAACTAGAATAGGACCCGCGTTAAAACGCGGATAAACACATTAAAAAAATTTAATATCAAAATTTAAGTTTTAGTTAGTAACCCATATAATTACAAAATATTTTGAAATATTTAAACTTATATCTCAAACCATTAAAATTTAATTTATATTTTAATTCTCATGTCTTAATTCATATTATGCATGCCTAAAAATATATATACATAAATAAAATTCAATCATATCCTTAATAACAAAAACACATATTCTTACACATTATGAATTTATATTAACTATATGATAAAATCTTGTAACAATTAAAATATTATAAAGTTAAATTATCAAACAATAAATTTATGTGAATAGTCTCATAAACACCTATTAAAATATTTTATAATATTTTTAGTGTGAAGGCTTATTTTATAGTAGACTTATTTTGTATGTGGTAGTCTGGTAGACTAATTTTGTATGTAGTAGGTTTATTTTGTATGTATGTAGTAGATTGATTTTGTAAGTAGATTTATTTTGTATGTAGTAAACTTATTTTGTATGCGGTAGACTTATTTTGTATTGTAGTAAACTTATTTTGTATGTCGTAAACTTATTTTGTATGTAGTACAACTTATTTTTTATGTGGTATGTAGTAGACTTACTATGTATGTAGTAAACTTATTTTGTATGTAGTAGATTTATTGTGTATGCAGTAGACTTATTTTGTATGTGATATGTAGTAGACTTATTTTGTATGTAGTAAATTTATTTTGTATGTAGTAGACTTATTTTATATGTAGTAGACTTATTGTGTATGTAGTAAACTTATTTAGACTTATTTTGTATGTGATATGTAGTAGACTTATTTTGTATGTGATAGAATTATTTTGTATGTAGTAGACTTATTTTGTAGGGGCAATTACAAAAATGCCATTTAGTGTGTGCATATTTGCAAGAATGCCACTTAGAGGTGTCCATTTACAAAAATGCCACTAATTATAGATTTATAAAGCCTATATCTTAAAATTTTAAACCCTAAAAAATGTTTTGACACCTAAAATCCCCTAAACACTCAAAACTAAACCCTAATAGAACATAATTAACCCAAACATAACTAATATAAAGAAAAAATAATTTTGAAAAAGTGTCATTTTTGTAAGGATTTCAAAAGTGTGGCATTTTTGTAAAGTGACACTTGAAAAGTGGCATTTTTTTAAATTTCTCTATTTTGTATGTAGTAGACTTATTTTTTAATCTGTTGTTTTTCAATTTATAAATTTTTTTTTGTTTTATCATTTATATTTGTTTCTTAATTTAAATTTATGTTTCCTCTCTATTTTTGTTTTATTGTTTAGACTCTCTCTATTTTCTTTTTTAAGTTTCTTTTTATAATTTGTTTATACTCTTTTACTTGTTTTTCCTAACTAATTGGGATTATTTTTTTTTTTTACTATTTGGTTAATTGTTTTGACAATTATTTTGTTCGTATACTATTTTTATTTTTGTTTTTCTTAATTAATTTTAAATTTTTACACATGTCTTCATCTAATAAATATTGGACTCATGTTATGATCTGGTGAACTATAATTTTGTTTAAGTGTCAAACTTTCGTCGATAATATTTTCTTACTTGATTGAATTGAATTTTTTCTATCTACTTTTTTTAGGGTTTAGACTCTCTATTTTATTTCTTAATTGAATTTGATAATTAGTGTAAACTATTATATTTTTTTAATCTAGCTAGTATGAACTATTATAAATTTTTCTTTTTTCTTCATTAGTTTGAACAATAAGAAAATTTTCGTTTTTACTATTTGATTAGTTATTTCCAATTTTAGTTTTACTTTTCTTAATTAAATCTATTTTAAAAAATATATTTTTTTTCATTAGTTTGAACAGTAAAAAAAATCAATATTAAACACGTGTTGCAATCTGGTGAATTATAGTTTTGTCTACGTGTCGGATGCACATATTCTTTTATTATTCTTTTATATAATAAGATACTACCATACGATAATCTAAAATTCATGAAATTTGTAATTTTACACAGTCATTTCAAATTGAATAAACACAGCGTAGTTTGTTTTGGCATTATAATGGGCTATACTAACGGCCCATATTAATGGAGAGGAAAGCCCAAATAGTGACGACCCGGTACCATTTCGCCGGGTTATGCGTCAGGGGTAGGAGAAATTGC